ACTTTGAACCGACTTCGCGAGGGTCAAATATTGTCCAATTTTGCTCAGATTTTGACAGGAGGCCTTTTTCTTGAGGCATCACGGAATAAGACATGTACATTCGAAATTTTTTACCATGACTTTTTTCTGGGGTACCCTAAGCCCAGTCGTTCCGTAGACTATACATAGAGGGCTTAACTAGGTTCAGAGCGTGCCAAAGATCGAAGTGACAGCTTGCAGCTATATTCCGTTCATTGAGGTAAAGCGAAATCATCCATCCCAGACCAACATGTCATCCGTCTTCATAACTGGCTCCAACCGTGGGATAGGCTTGGAGATTGTAAAGCAGCTCCTTGCACATGCCAACCCTCCAGCAATCTTGTTCGCAACCTGCAGGAACCCAGACTCTGCCACAGTGAGTGAAAGAGGGAACTACTTAGATAATCATGTACATAATCTTCAGTTTGGGTTTTTAGATTTGTAATTGTTTCAGGAACTGCAAGCAATTGCGAAGAATCACTCAAATTTAAAAATTATTAAGTTTGGTACTAATTCCTGATTTCTATTTTATTTTATGTTGCAAAATTTATAATAATCACAAAATAATGTAGTTGTTTTATTTTGTTCCAGATGTGTAAGGTTCAGGCGGAAGGGGTTGGAGGGGTAGGGGTGGCACGGTCACGCGCTTGCACCCCCTGGGGGGCTCGTTGAAATGAAAATAAAAAGAAATAAATAAAACAAACACGCGCACAACGGAAAATAATGATAACAGCAACAAAATTGAAATGACTGCGGTGGACCCCCCGCACGTCTGGGTAGTTCGGAAGCCCCGGAGGCGTGCAGCCTGGCCGCGGCGTTCCTCTCGTGGTGGGGCGACTCTAGGACACGGAATTCACTGCTCTCAGAATCGCATCTGACCAGCGGCTAGTGATGCTCCCTTGAGGCCAAGAGCGGCCAAGGGTGTTCAAAGCGCCCCCCCCCCCAACCCCCTGCACCACGTCTCAGCACGGCGAATAACATCAAAAACTCGTTCTAAAGTTTTTCACTCCGTCCATGAGAAGAGACAGAGTAGCGAGAGAGCGAAAGAGACAACGCGAAAAGTAAACGCGAAAGAGAAAAGTGGGAGGGGGGGGGGGGGGGGGGGGGCGCACATGCGCTGGCTCTCGCGTTTCTGTTTACCGCGCCAGAACCGAGCACACGCCCAAACCGAAGCTGTTTAGAAAACGGAAACAAAGAGGTGAAAAGATCAAACGAGGTATACCAGGAACCACTCAATGGCGCAGAGAGCAGCGTCGCACAAGTTCGCTGCTAGGTGAGCAGCGATTCTCTCTGCGAAACAGAGAAGGAGCCCACTACGATGGTTTCCTATTCCATCATCTATTTTCGTTATGGAAGTTTATTAAAATGATGGACCAGCCAGTGCGGGCATTGCGCAGCCATGCAATGTTAATCACAGCGCTATTCAGGCTATTCATAAGCAGATTTGCTAATGAAACCCTTTCAAAATGAGCTGCTGCTTTCCTGTCGCTGTTGCTGCTGTGAGAGCAGCACAGAGGGAAAAAGGGTAGGAATGTCCGCGGGGGGATGAGGGGGTGGAGAGGGGTGGAGGGCTGACGAGAGGGCCCGGCCACTCTCCCCATCTGTCGGCGCGCTCCCCAATATTAGCGCCACAAATTCGTCCACTCTTTGCAATTAACTTGCTGCTGAGCGAGCGGCTGTCGCCGGCTGCCAGGCCGTTTGTCAGGGGAACGTCGAAGGCCGCAAGGCAGGCCGCAGTAACACGCCTGCGTTGAGTTGGGAGAGAGAAATAGTGTGTGTGAGAGAGAGAGAGAGAGAGAGAGAGAGAGAGAGAGAGAGAGAGAGAGAGAGAGAGAGAGAGACTACGAGGCGTCAAGTCAGAAGCAATAGTCCAAAGTGGTTGCCCTAGGGGCGCTATAGATAGCCCGCCGCTAGATCGGCTGGATCTCCCCCTCCCCCCCGTGCCGTGTCGGTTCCTCGCGCGGGTCGGGCCGCCTGGTGGGTAGGCACGCCCGGCAGACGCGCCTCCTCGCCGGAGCTGCCTATGCTGCAGGGGCTACATAGAGGGGAGGGAGAATCTCGACGCCGTTAAAATATGAAGTTTCTTTTCTTTTTCTCTTCCCCTCTCTCTGTATTACTCGGGCGCTCGGGAACACTCGCAGGATTAAATGCATCGTAGTAACGCTCCGTTCCTTCTGACACCGTAACCTGATCGCTTTGAATGAGGGGAGAGGGAGGGAGGGAAGGAGGGAGGCAGGGAGGCAGGGAGGGAGGCAGGGAGGGAGGGAGGCAGGGAGGCAGGCTCACGTTGCTTTCCCGAAGCGAGAGTTTTTTTTGTGGTTGTGTTGTTTTCTCTCTCTAATTTGACGCCTGTGTTTGCTAAACGGACATTTGGGCTCGCCATGCGCTAGCGCTGCGTTTTTGTTTTCATTGCACATATCAAAAGGGCTCGCAGTGGGGGTAAGAAGAATAAGAAAAGCAATTTTAAATTTTGTAAGCGTCGGAGGGAAGAGACTCGGGTATCTATACCGCGGCGGCTCGCAGTGGGCGCTGTGCCGTGCGTAAATCTCTTCCCTGCTCGCCCCGCGGGCTCACTGCTCACGACGTGTTGTTGCAACAGATTGATCCTTAAACGTCTCCCTGTTTGTGTGCCTCCCCGTGTCTCTGTAATGCCGCCCTCTCGAGCCTCTGCGTGTCTCTCTGTCTTTCTGTCTCTGTCTCCGTCTCCGTCTCTCCGCAACTGAGTCAAGGGGGTGTCGCGGCGCTCCGTCCCGAAATTAATGACGGCCGTAAAGCTCCTCTCCGGGCTTCTCTCCGCCAGAGGCGGTATGGCGGCCAGCAGCGCCGAGCAGCGCGCACGGCTCCTTCTTGAGCTGAAACAAAAGGCTGTCGGCCAGAGATATGGCGGCACAGCGCGGCAAGTTCGAAACAACCTGCGGGCGGCGTTCGTTCGAGTTTGGTGGTGCGGCAGCCGTTCTCATGGCAATCACGACGACCCCCCGCCGCCCGCCCCTCTCCTTCAGTCCCCCGGAGCCGTGCCGATAAGAGGAAACGAACACTCTGAACAGGAATCTGCCTTAACTCTCGTTTCGATGTGAAAAAAAAAATACATTCGTAAATTTACAAACACTTAAATTACATAATTTCTATTTCTAAGTAAAATAGTAAATTTATATGATGCACAGTTGTTTTCCCCACTGAAATCCGGTTTGCATGATAATTTTGTTGAAGGTTTGAGATAACTAGTCCTTTACGACAGTCAATTGTTTGTGACAAAACGTATTAACGTGTAGTTTCATAATATGAAAGGTTTTTAAAAACCAGTCGCGGTTTGTCATATAGTTTTATGATTTGCAAATAAAATTGTCAATTAACCTAGCATTTTAGTTTAGGTACTCATTTGAATTTTTTATCACAATAATTGATAATGTAATTTTTCTGTAGATATGCAATCGCAAAAAATGTTTGCGTTGTGTTTTCTGGATTATTTTTTGTTGCTTGGTGCCGACTCGAGAAGGGGTAGGGGTGGGAGCTGCTGGGGTATGATGATGACGGCGTCTGGAAATCATCTTTCAATTTGGCACGTCCGCTGCGGACGCGGCTGCGATGCGGAGGCTGCGGAGGCTGCGGAGGTTGGTGCGCAGCGGGAGTTGGGGAGCGGGATGCGCCAGCCCAGCCGAGGGCTCAGCCCCTCCCACCTCATCGGGGTGGAATGGGGGAGGAATGCCAAGCAGCGGCGCGCGCCACGCCACGCCACGCCACGCCACGCCACACACCGCGGGGAGCGAGTATCACTCCTCGCGTTCCTTTAGCTGCCCCACGGCTCTCGCGCGCGTGCTGAGGCGAGGCGCTGCCCTCGAGAGACCCCTCCTATACGCTCCTCGTGAACCCCCCGATTGGCAGAGGAGGAATCGATGACCGCGATGTACGCACTCCGATGGTTTTGCTTTGCCGTCGGCGCGTGATTCAAACCACTCGGTCGTCCGCAACCTGGACAGCATACAGGGATCTCACGGGTGTGCTGGTGCGGGGCGGGGGCGGAAGGATGCGCGATGTGCGGCCAAGGGTGGGGCGGGGCGCGGTGGGGCCTAGCGCCGAAGGAGGGAAGGGGGCAAGTTTTGGACTAGAGTGGCTGCCGGGGTGGGCTGGGGCTTTGGAAGTAGTAACCGTGCGGTGGCGGTGCGCGGCACAGCCAGCAGGTCCACGCGCCCTGCCCCACCCCGCCCCGCCCCGCCGCTGGAGTTGGTCCCCGGGGGCCCCTTTGGGCTGCCTCCGCCCGTGTCCCACGCACAGCGCGGCCCCTATGCGCACGCGGCCCTCGGCTCCTGTCGTGTTTAGCCCTAGCGAGCAATTGGCCAGGGCCACTGCTGCTGCAAGTGAGAGAGAGAGAAAGGGAGTGAGAGAGGGAGTAAGAGAGGGAGTGAGAGAGAAAGTG